CTGTAATACTTTAACCTCCAAGGACAAAGACAAGATAGAGCTAGGTTAGATATGATGTTTACTCATGAGGAATTTACAGTCTAAGAACAGAGTAAACTTAAGGAGCACAGTCAGCTAAAATGAGGAAGAATGTGGTCCGAGCCAAAAGAGAGAGACAGTACTGTGCTCTTGTTAGGAAGACAGGCTCTGGAGTCTGACTGCTTAGTTTGAACAATGGCTTGATCACCTATTGGCTATATGAAGTTGTGCACGTTAAATTGCTTAACCTTTCTTCTATAGCCATTTCCCCATCTATAAGTTGAGAACAGTAGTTTCCTCTCCCAGAAGGATCTGGACAATAATAATTAAGAGGTATTTCCTACATGACTCACTACCATGTGGGTTTATAGGTATTACATCTTTCAACTTGGTGTTCATTCATGGTGAGTTAGAGGTTTGTGTTGAAGTCTATACCTACTGTCTACTTTCAGCCCCTCAAACTCTAAATCTTCCACTTCTTTGTGCTTTAGGCCATATCTCCATTTTAATGAACATAGGAAGTGCAGCAAAAGCAGAACCATTATCAGTCTTGTTCACTGTCTAGAACAGAGACTGGCACATAGTAGGTAATGGACAGACGTTGGCTTAGCACAGCTCAGGGGTATTTATGAAAATGATGCAGAGTTATGCGATTTTGAGAAGGAACCATACAGACTCCACAAAAATTACTGCCATGTGTGGTGGCACATGTCTTTACTCCCAGCATACAGGGAGCTGAAGCAGAAGGATCACTCTGGGTCTAAGGCCAGCCTGAGCTACATATTGAGATCCTGTTTTAAGCCCCTCCAAAAGAAATGATTCCCAAGGGAGATAAAAGAGAATGTGGGCACTGGGGAGATGGCTTAGTAGGATAAGCGCTTCCCTGGCAAGCACAAGGGCCTGAGTTTGATCCCTGGTTCTGCCCCCCCCAAAAAAAACCCCCAAGATTCTTGTTAGCTTTGGGGGCCAGGGAGATGGCTCAGTGGAATAAGTGCTTCCCTGGCAAGCGCAAGGACCTGAGTTCAATCACTAGATCCAGAAAAAGAGAGAGAGAGAGAGAGAGAGAGAGAGAGAGAGAGAGAGAGAATATGCTTCTCCAATTTTCTGGCAGAGTTTGTGCATGAAGTGTGGAATCCATAGATCTCCTCTGATGGTCATCATGACTCAACAACTTAAAGCTTTGTAACCTCAAGTAATTTAATATCTGTGGGCTTCATTTCCTTTTGCAGCATATTGAGTTGTTACTTGTGCTTAGAATGTTTTTTGAGGTAGTATACACAAAGCCTTGAGTTTGATTCCAAACACCACCAAGGGAAGAGGGAGGGGGGAGAGAGGGAGAGAGAGGGGAGAAATAGGGGGAAGGGAGGAAGGGAGGGAGGGAGGAAGGGAGGAGGGGAAGAAGGGAGGGAGGGAGGGAGAGAGAGAGAGAGAGAGAGAGAGAGAGAGAGAGAGAATATGTGTTTGTGAGAGATCCAAAGATCAATGCAAAGCAAGCACATGGAACCTGAATGCTGCAAAGTACAAATGCACTGAGAAATGGCAACTTTTCCTGTTTTGAATTGGAGGACTATAAATCAGGAAAAGGAAAACACTTCCTATTACTCACATGTCAGGTAGTGAAGATAAAGCTTGCACTGCTCCTCATATAAGAATGGACTTCCTAAGCATAGAGAAGAAACTGGAAGGCCTTCCTTGTACATAGCCAAGCTGAACTGCATGAGAGGCTTCCCATCCCCCCAACTTTTACTTGTTGCACCTCCTTTCTTTTGAACCAGTCCCCAAAATAGTTCCAGTCCAAAGGAATGCATGTGCTGGCTGGAAATGATTTGAGGAATTGGCCATTCCAGGTTAAAAGCCAGAAATAAAATCCTTCTCCCATTTCTAATTTTTTCATTTGTAGAAGTTCAAAACTGAAATTTATTAATTATCATCTGTTCCTACACATGGTGGGCCACTTTAGAAAAGTCTTTCTGGTGCCAGGGAGATGGCTCAGTGGAATAAGCGCTTCTCTGGCAAGTGCAAGGGCCTGAGTTCAATTTCTGGTTCCAAAAAAAAAAAGTCTTTCTTCATATTCTTGCTGTTCACATACTAAGCAAATCTTCAAACATTCCACATATTCATTCTTTAGGCTATTTTTCCTTCAAGTGTATTTAGGCATCTCACATAATTTGGATGTCTGATTAAGTTGGAATATACATTTACAGACTTCCAGAACATACACTTTCACAGTATTCTTCATAAACCACTAAGCCAGTGACAGTATGCAAACTGACTTTCTCTTGGAATTTAGCGTAATAACTAAAACTACTCAGAAGATTTGTGTCTAAGGGGAATCTTAAGAAGCTTGAGGTGGCTCCTCCCATCATTCATCAGTCTTACTTTTGGTTGCTATAATATATATATATATATATATATATATATCATATATATATGATATATTAGGCTAATATATATATATATAAGCCTTATTAATATATAAATGAGATTTTACTTAATGCATTAATTTTAAGTGTAAATTTCTGATATATTAGAAAGATTGTGTTGCCGTCACAGCTAATTCCAGAACATATTAATCACATGCAAAGGAGACCCCAGACCCATTAAATAGCCTTTCCCTTTTCTTTCTTCCCCCTAACACATGGCAATCACTAATCTACTTTCTGCCTGAGCATGTTTGGTTATTCTAGACATCTCACATAAGTACAATTATGCAATAGGTGGTTTTTGCGACTGGGTTATTTCATTAATCATAATGTTTTCAAGGTTCATCAATGTTGTGGCATATGTTACTGTTTCATTCTTTTGAATGGTAGAAAATGTTGTATTACATGCACATGCTACATTTTGTATATCGATTCACCTGTTGATGGGCACTTGGATTGTTTCTACCTTTTGACTATGTGAATAATGATACAGTGAACTCTACTATACAAGGATTTGCTTCAGTTATTTGGGGTATGTACTGAGGCATGGAAGTGCTAGATTATATAGCAAATCTATTTAATAATTTGAGAAATTGTCAGAGTGTTTGCCAACTGTACTCTTATATTGCCACCCACAATTTATGAGGATTCCAATTTTGCAATCTCTATTTTACTCTAGCCATCCTCATGGTTATAAAGTGGTATCTCATTGCGGTACAGATTTGCATTTCTAGCATAGGGCTTTTTTTAATTAATGGTATTTGAGATATTATTTCTATGACAATTTAGCCCTCTAAAATGTTGTTCTGCATGTGACGTAATGTAAAGTGGCCCTCAAAGCAGTGACAGCAGTCATATACTGCTGTAGAAAAGCTTGTATCATACCCCTTTGGTCCCTCATGCAGTAATTAACTCTTTTTCAACTTTCCTGACTGGCCATTAGGTGGCTAGAAAGGAACTAGGAAATTCACAGTGGCAAATATTGTGGCAGAAAAAGAAGTACAGCACTTACTACCAACAGCTGGTGAAGGAGGAAAATTACACTTGCCAAGATGTTAATAATCCCAAGTCTTTACCCAGAGGCTATCTTGAGTTTCACTGTGTTTTAAGAAGGCACAGCTACTTATGATGCAATTTAGAAAGATTTTTATGAAGAATGATTCAGAGAGCATGTTTTGTTCTTAGAAAGATAAGCTTTGGATTTTCCAGGTAATTAATTTCCCAGTGATATCTGAAAAGTTGGTTAATGATGAATTTCTTCTTAAATATAAAAAAGACAGACTCTGTAAAGTTAATGAAAAAATTATTTAAAAATAAAAGATTTTTAAGACTTTCCATATCACTATTTGATAGTTTTAACAATTAGTTGATGTGACCTATACTCAGAACTCACTTTTGCCTTACTATTATTTTGGTACAAGTTCACATCTTGTGGTTTATAAGTTAATTTTAATGGATCTTCTCAGTTGAGTTGTTTGACCCTACTGTTGATACTGGGTTAAGGTGCAAGCCCTAAAGCTGTATACCATTTTATGTATCACAAAATGGTGCTTTCTGTCTTATTTTTTTATGCTGAAAACTTCCAAGTTACTCCAGTTTCTCTTCAGAGACTAAGAAGCAGACCAAGGGCTCAAGGAGAAAAAAAATCCAGGCTCTTTTCAAAGATTTATTTTTTATCTGAAGCACATTTTATACTTCCATCCTCCATCGTAAGTCATATGCAATGAGTCTCTAATCAGTCATGTCCTAACTGTTTCATGAGATTATTGATGATTACATTTACAGTACACACGTTGCCTCTTCAAGCAACTTTAATTTTCATAGCAATTCCTGATTTCTAGATTTTGAAATCAGATAATCAAATCTTTATTTTTATTTATTTTTATTTTTTCAATACCATTTATTAAGCATTTTTCCTAAGCCAGAGCCTCTGTTTTGAAATTCATGATCTCACTTTGGATTTTTCCAAAGATTCAATGCCTTTCACAAAAGTCATTAGTACATTACAGAAAACTCATAAATTGGTTCTTAGGTGTTTTGAGTAAGTAAAACTTATAATGACATTTTAAATTATTATTTAGATGTATTTTAAATCTAACAGTGAAAATAAAATTTCCAATTTATTTTTTTCAAATCTTTAATTAAGGCATGATAAGGTTAGTTGAAAGATAGGTCATTGGTATCTTCTAAAAACTAGACACACATAAGTGGACTGTGAATGCATAAAGGACCGTTATGCTAAACTATGCCAGGGGTGGCAAACCTATGACACAGGTGCCACAGGCGACTGGCATCCTTGAAAGCTCTAGAAGGTTCACTGTCATTTTTCTGCACGGAGAACGCGTCGATGAAGTCCTGTCCTTTTCCTTTGTACAATTTTACACTGGGAAATGCCCTCTCTATTGACAATAGCTGACTGTATATACTAAGTTGCAGTGTCAGTATGTAGAGGCTTCCTGTTTTAGATAAGATATGATTATTTTTCTTTCCAAGCCTAGAGTTTAAAAAGAAAGCATTGTGTATCTTAGCTAATTTTCTTTATTTATTTTTTTCTTGCAGGTTCTGAAAAGGGCCTTTTCTGACAACTCTGCTGCTTGGATTCTACTGTAGAACTGTCATCTTACCAACTCCCCTGCCCAGCATTCCTTTCTCTACTCCCTTCCCCTAAGAAGCCAGGTGTGCTTGCAGTTTGCATTCAGCAACCTGTGCATTTATTTTTTCCTGTGATCCTCGGTTTTCTTAGCCATTTTCCCTCCCCTTGATCTTGCAGCAAAACTTTTTTTAAGTTAAAACAGCATCCCCAGTCTTATTCTTCGCATATATACACATAAAAGCTGACAATTTGAGGGGCAGGCATCAGTGTATGAGTTTTGCAAATATCAATTAGATGATATAGAATTCTTCTGAAAATCCACCAGTTATCTGAGCAAATTCGGTAAGTTAACAAAAACATCTTAACCTTTACAGTTGCCTTCTTAGGAATTGGTCTCTTATTTGATTTTTAGTTATTCTGATACAACTTTCATTTATGTGAGAAACTTTTTGTTTGACCAAATCAGATTTGACTTGAGTGAAAACCTACGTGCTAACAAATAGCCACTCCACCAAAGCACCCTGCTATCTCTTTGCTTGCAATATGACGGCCGTCAATGTTGCCCTGATTCGCGATGCCAAGTGGCTGACTTTAGAGGTCTGCAGAGAATTTCAGAGGGGAACTTGTGCTCGAGGTGATGCAGATTGCAAGTTTGCCCATCCACCAAGAGTTTGCCATGTGGAAAATGGCCGCGTGGTGGCCTGCTTTGATTCTCTAAAGGTAAGCACCATCTTAATGCATGGAATTTGTTGGTTTATGTTTTTTGAAATATGATGTTATGAAATGTGTAAAATTGGTAATAGCCTGAAATTGATAATTTTTACTTTTAAGACAAGATGTAGACTTTGTAGAACTACACGAGTCTAATCTTCACTCCATCAAAGCCAACTTATGAAGATAGATATACTTCAAGAATATAAATTTAAAAGGGCCAGCCAAATAGCTCAGCGGGTTAAAGCACCTGCAAGCAGGCACAGGGGCCAAGGGTTCCACTCCGGGCCTGCCTGGCAATTGAGACCGGGCGTGGTGATGCGCGCCTGTAATCCCAGCACTTGGGAGGCTGTAAACAGAAGAATCACTACGAGTCCAATCTAGTAGTGAGACCCTGAACACCTTGTAGAGCCTTCTCTAAAATACAGAAAAAAAAAAGAATATAAATTTAAGAATGCTTGTAGGAGTAAGCAATTGCAGTAGCCATGTTATAGTTTATCTTTTAGTATGGGATTTAGGAATCTAATTTAGTAATTAAAATCTTTCTGTAACCCAGAACATTCATTGAATTATGGTATATTTTATTATCTATAATATCAAAATATGCTCAGCGGGGATCATCGAACTGTCAGAATATAAAGTCAGACTGAGAGTACCAGGAGAACATCTTATCATTCAAGAGGAAAATTTTAGCATTTGGAACACTTAGTGAAAGTATATTCTGAACCTTGAACTTAAGTGTATTACTATAAAACTAAGTTCACTTAATTTTCTTCTTGTACCTGGTTGACCAGTTGAAGACTTGTACTTGCATTTTGTAAAGAAAGTCCTATTGCTAAGGTTATAAAACTGGAATACGATGTACTAGAGTATAAGTAAAATATGTAGCATGTGAAGTATTATGAATTAGAAATATATATTCGCAGTAAAAATGCACTGATTTTAATGTTTCATGTTTTATTCATAGTTAAACTAAGGCTACAGATGTACAAGAAAGCATAGAAGCAAAAGCACTAATGTTCTTGATAGAATTAATAAGATTTGCTGTGATGCATTTAAGATGTTTTTCAGACTGTATCAAGATGTAAGCTTAAGAGAGCCCTTTTGATTTATTGTTAATATTTTATCTTATCATGACCAATTTTCCCTTGTTAGTATTTTTATTTATGACTGCATTGGTTAGTATAATATCTTTCTAAGAAAAATATTTTCTCAAATACTAAATGGCAGATTGAGTATTCCTTTTCTGAAATTCTTAGGACCAGAAGTGTTTCAGCTATCAGAGCTTTTCAAATTGTGCAATATTTCCATACAAACAATGAGATATCTTGGGGGTGAGACTGTGGTCTAACTGTGGTCTAATTTGTTGCATACGCTCTTTATATACATAATCTCAGTGTAACTTTATATACTGTTAGTGTACCCACATTTTTCTGGGACTTGTCAATCAGATCAGGTGTGGAATTTTCCACTCACAAGCAGTGTCAGGGTTCAGTGGTTTTTAGATGTTAGAGAACTTTGGATTATCAGATTAGGGCTGCTCAACATATACTTAGTCAGATGTATTATTCCTGTACAAGAGAGGTTTAACATCCACATGATGCCATAGACATCATGTCAGGGTTCCCATTTAAAGACAAAGAGATACCATAAAGTAAAGATGTTGAAGAAAATGGTGTAGATTATTGTTTATAAAGTGTATATTGCACTTTAAGGCTTAGAAAATGTTTAAATCAGATACAAAACAGATAATGGATAATGAATATAAATAAGCCACTTAATTATTTAAATAAGCTGCCTGCTCACTGAATCTCATGTTTTTAAAAAAGAGTTTGTACATTATGTTAATAATGATGACCAGTCACACAGGACAAAGAAGATATGCAAAATCCCCACATTCTCAAAGTCTTAATGAAAACTTCAATGTTTCAAATATACAAAGCTTTTTGAACAATTACTTAATTTGCCATTTAGATAGCACATTATCAGAGTTATGTGTCGGCACAAAAGCTTTGTAGTTATCTTTTGTATTATCTCTCATCTATGATATGCACGAAAGCTATACCAAGTTGAGGGTAATTGACCTATGAGAATTGTACTCCTGTCATACCTACAATACACAAAGAACATACCTTAACGGTTGCTGCAGCATTTGCTGCCTCTCTTGAGTTTGTGTAATTGAAACACCATTGAAATTCATCTGTGTACTATTTCTTCCATGAGTGGTTAAATAACTAAAGCAAACATTTGATGAGTTTTGGGCTGCAGCTTTTGTTTTATTTTTGTAAGGATTCCATTAGCATGGGCTACTCTACCAGATGATGATTCTTTGCCTTTATAATAGGTACAATAGACACAGTGTCCTATGCTCACCTCATAATGAGGAAATGTTAGGAAAATAAGAAGGGCGAGCCCGATAGCTGATTGTGCATTGTGCTGAAGTGTTGTGCCCATCTCTCCATAAATTTTAAGTATTGGATAATGAAGGCTGCACTGTCATCAGAAAGAAATCTAGGGAGTGCAGCTAGTAGATCAATTCCCAACTGTATAGAAGAGTCTTGTGCCATGTTGCTATGCAGCTCTTTTTGGCTCAGTTGCCTTGTCCACTTGGTACTATTTATTTCAGAAGTTCCCTTCAAAGTACAAGGTAATCTTTTTATGCCAATTCTTTGTTATTCCAGTCTGCTATTTGTCTAGGTTGGTATCTTTAGGGAAGGTCCCTTGGTTTAAACAAAGGTTGAACACTTTTAAAACTAAATCAATCTTGCAGTCGTATTTATTTATTTATTTATTTGGAGTTTACTGATGTTCTCTTTTTTACTTTTTTTAAAGTTTTATTTTATTTTATTTTCCCATAATTTTATTTTTAAACAAATAGCAATGAGACAGTTTCAAATTAAATTGGTAGGACAGTTTCAATAATTAACACATTGCGTACATTCTTCCTAGTGGTTAATTGCTGTACAAGATGCGGACATGATATCCTATTTACAAACACTATTAGAACAAATCCCTGTATTTATTAAGAGAATGCAACTATATATCTATCCTAACCACTTTGAATACACAGATACAAAATGAACATTCATCTGTATCCCCTTTTTTTGTTAAGTTCTGTTATTTGAATATTATAGGTGTGTAAACTCAGCAAAATATTCTAAAAGAGTCCAGTAGCCCATAATAGAATTGGGTCTTCTGCTTCACTGGCAATGTCAGAAATTGTTGACCTGAGTCCCCTATAGCTGAACATAACAGTATGGCTTTACTTCTTATACTTCGTTTTTGTACTTTTCTTCTGGATGGTTAAGACCAAGGTAAAGCAGGACCTATGCAACAAGAGTTGTAGCTTTTGGGTCTGATAAGGTCAGTGAAATCCCCTCAGGATTTATCCTGAGATCTTGTACCTCAGATTGTAGAACCGTTGTCAGTGTCAGCCATGTGGATGAGTCACAGCCATTGTTTGGCCAATGTGCTCTCTGTGGAAGCCTGAGAGAGTGTCTTCTCCCCATGTGACTCTCCTTAGGCACACTCTACGTCATCGATCACTTTCCTCTTTGGCCCCATAATCTCCTTGATCAGAAAATTTGGGATACTACTGAGTAACATGATGTTACAGTACAAGTTCTCATATTGCAATCATTTTTAGAGAGAAGTTATTCTGCTTCAGTAGTGTCATTCTTCCTTACATCTTCTGTACAAGACTACAAGTAGTATGTGGTAGCAGTCACATACTGTTTGTAAAGGATTTATATGCTATCATTATTCATTACGGCAGATCCATACCCATCATACCTGTCTACTATACTCGCCACTTTTGGTAGTTTTGTAACAATTATTTTGTAGTGAAGGCCATATCCAGACATAATCAGAGCAGTCATGTCAAGCCATATACAAATGCACAGTCATGTGAAGCCATTTTAAAAGATGAGAACTGGAAGAAGGCACATAAAACAGCTCCACATTATGTCCTCAACACATACAGTCACAACAATAAGAATATTTTGGCAGGTGAAATTTGTTGCATAAGCATGAGGATATGAATCTATATTTGTAGCTAAAATTGGGCATAGATGCAAGAATACTCTGTATTAGCATCACTAGTCACGGCAGTTTTCAGTAGTTTAAAATTTGACCATTTTTGGATATTCTTCCTTTTTGCTTAAGGAAAGATAACCAGAAGTTAGACTCCTGGCAACATAATCCTCATGGTATTCAGATTGCAGCTATTTAGCACAACTAATAAACTCCATCAGGGGACTGAGATGTACTGCAGAGACACAGAGGAAACACATGTCACCATGAGAGTCGGGATCTCTGTCCTCTATGCCACTGATCTGAAAAAAGAAATATCCGTCACTGGTAAAACTCCATGCTATTTGAGACCTTTTAAAACATACTTTGAATGAAAAATACAGGTACAATTAGAAGTAAAATAGATCTGTATTGATAGTTCAGTCTCATTTTTTTATTTTGAAGTAACTTTAGATTTACAGAAGAGTTGCAAAAGTAAGGCTGCCAGTTCCTGTATAGTCTTCACCAGATTCCCGTAATCTTAACAACTTACATACCATACATAGCATAGTTATCTCCAGCAGGAAACTATACTGTACAAAGCTCTGTGCTAAACTAGGGACTTCGGTTGAATTTCCTTAACTTTCTCCCTAATATCTTTTTCCTGTTACAGGATCCAGTCTCGAATCCCACACTGAATTTACTCATCATAGTTTAGTTTCCTCTAATCTGTGAAAGTTCCCTGATCTGTTCTTGCATTCTGTGACCATGACACAAGCAAGAGGCATTGCCACTGAGTAGCATATTTCAGCTGAAGTGTCATGGTCACTGACATTAAGGAGAAAATTAGTGAAATTCAAATGCTATCATTAAAGAACCTTCTTTATGATTTCAGTAAATTTGTTATGATTCTTTCTGATTTTAGTAAATATATTATGAGTAGCAGTAAGAAAACTTGGGTGAAGGATATTCTAAGACATGAGACATTATTTTTGCAG